GAGTATTCAATCCTTATCTTTAGGGTACTAACTACATCTCAATTTGAAGAGCCTAGTTAATAAAAATAGGTCAGAATCATGCAAACATGCAAAACAAACAAGCTTGATATGTATCTATAACTGACTCTGGCTGCGAAGGGCAGTAGAAGGAGAAATGTCAAAGAAGGAATTTTTGGAGTATTTGGAGGTGCTGGAGGCAGGTGAAGCCAATATAGGAAGATAGGTTTTGAGTGACATTGTTAAAGGCTATTTTCTTGTCCTAATAGAATCTGGAAGGTCACCTCTGAAAGTAATGAAATCCTTTCTGCACTGCAATAAGATTGTTCAATTTTTAATTCAAGGAAAATCCCAAAGCAAACAGTGCATAAAATACTGGGGCTTGGGGGTGGTAGTGGTAAAATTATCATCAGAATTTAAAGACCTGTCAATCTAAGCAGTGCACCAGGATCCATTTTTAAATAAATTATATTGTTTTTAAATGACAGATGCCATTTTTACCATGCACATTCCTGTAATCTAACTCACAATAAATCTCCAAATAGCTTATGGCAATTATTTTAGGTAGTGCTTTATCTAGCAGTCAGGTCATTTGTTCTCGTACTCTATTTTTGTTGCACAGATGTGAAAGAGGTTTAATTTATTTCAATTTATTTCATATTTCTCCTATCAACAAAGAAAAATGAGATACACCAAAAAAGAATGAGCCCACAGAACAACTGGTACTTCTTCCTCACTTAAAAAAATTAATACAGGTATTTCCATTCCGAAGATTCTATCACCTCCTGTTTAATTTGTAGTAAAGTCTCTAACCGTTTTGAACTCTTTCTACAACCATCTTTCCTCATCTTGTACTGACTTCTGAAATAAGCAGTTTTTACTATATGATTTTACGATCAATTATAACACTAGAAGAGACCCCAAGAAATATTAGAAATATTACTTTGTCTCCCAGTATAACTGCAGTCAGTGACGGGTCATTTACTGCTCTATCCACGACATTCTCATTGAAACCTAATTTCAGTTAATAATAAAAACTGAAAGTCCAGGACCGGAGTCAAAGAGAGAACATACCATTATAGCAGGATTCATAATTCAAAAAGTCTTCTTTGCATTGTGGTGTAGTGGATTAAGTAGCGACTCACAGTGCTGGCATCCCATATGGGTGCCAGTTCAAGTACTGGCTGCTCCACTTTCAGTCCAGCTCCCTGCTAACATACCTGGGAAAGCAGCAAAGGATGACTCCAAGTGCTTGGGCTCTTGCATCCACGTGGGAGACCTGGAAGAAGCTCCTGGCTCCTGGCTTCTGGCTGGCCCAGCCCCTGCCATAATGGCCACTGGGGAGTGAACCAGAAAATTGAAGATTCTCTCTCTCTGCCCCTGTAACTCTGCGTTTCAAATAAATAAAATAAATGTTTTTTAAAAAAGTCTTTACAGCAGAAATTAAGATAAAGAGCTTAATTCAACAGTTACTGAATGCATGTTAGGTACTGGATCCTATATAATATGTGTCTCTGATGATGTTAACATTTTTCCATATGGAATATTTTTAAAAATTGTTTATCTACTTGAGAAGCAGAGAAAGCGAGAGAGGGGAGAGAGAGACAAGGATATGAGAGAGGGAGATATATCCCATGCACTTTTTTTTAAAAGATTTTAAAATTTATTTATTTGAGAGGTAGAGCTACAGGTAGGGAGAGTGAGAGACAAAGATATTCCATCTGCTGGTTCACTCCCAAATGGCCTCAACAGCTGGAGTTGATCCAAAGCCAGGATTCAGGAGCTTCTTCTGGATCTTCCATGCAGGTTCAGGAGGCCAAGGACTTGGGCCATCTTTCACTGCTTTTCCAGGCCATAGCAGAGAACTGGATCGGAAGAGGAGTAGCTGGGACACAATGAGTGCCATATGGGATGCCTGCGTGGCAGGTGGAGGATTAGCTCACTATGCCACAGGGCGCCCCCACCCCCACCCCCGCCACCCCCATCCATGCACTGTTTTATTCTTCAAATGCCTGCAATGAGTCAGGAGGTTGGGAACTCAATTCAAGTCTTCTACATGAATGGCAGGATCCAATTACTTGAAGCATCACTGCTACCTCAGAGGGTCTGCATTATCAGGAAGCTGAAATCACAGCCAGAACTGGGATTCAAATCCAAGCACTCTGATGTGGGCACAACATCTTAACTGGTCTGTTAGTTGCAAGGCAAAATGCCAGCCCTGCCATATTATTTTTGTTTCACACACTTACATTTGTTTGAAGGCATTTAATTATTTAGATGTCCTTTAATTTATGAGGTAACCTGACTCTATTACAAGTCTTCAAAATGTTCCTAGAAAATACATATTTTGAAAAAACTACACATGGATATCAAAACTGTTTTGCACCAAAATAAACTGATCTTTTAATTCAATTTTCTATGGGCTTTTTGAAGGAGTCTTGTATAATCTGATTTACAGAACATCCATAGTAAGGTTAATATCCTCAACTTCTGCCATAGTCTCATCATTTAATTTGCTATATAATGATTTTTTATACTGACAAAATTATTACACCTGAGAGAGAATTAATAACTTATTTGAAGAAGAATGTAAGGGCAATTCATCCTAGGAGGCTTTTTTTTGATAATTCAGAGCCAAAAGTTTGATGCACACAGAATTATGATTAATCTCAACACACGTCGTTCAGTGCAGAACTGATTGTTGTTCAGCCAGACTTAACGAGGGATGCTAAGAGGAAGTGAATGACACTCCTACACAGCAGCATGTGATAACATCTGTTTCTCAAACCTGACATAGTTTGAACAAGTCATTTCCTTTGAGAAAGAAGATGTCTTTAAAGTTAAGAATAAATTGAAGATTCTACAAATCTTTGACAGCCAATTGTGCACAATTTTTTGATCTATAGAAGATGAGATGGGGACAGGATAAAACAACAAGATCTGCGTTTTGTGTTTTGGAGAGAGGTAGAGGTTGGGAGGAGGTCCTATCAAGGGGTAACATTATTAACACAAGGTCTGATAGATTACTTCCCTTTCAGTAAAATAACGCCAAGTGCCTGTGGCATTTAGAAATGGAGAACACCAACCTTATGTGCAATCCAATTATGTCCAAATGCTTTTAATTCCAAAAGACCCACATTATGTTCAGAAATAATTCAGTCTTAGTTTAAAGAGGGAAATAAAAAGTATTTAAATTCTCCAAATTTCTAACTCATATGAAAATGATAATATTAGAATACTTAAAAAATGTAAACATATTTGAAACCAAGAGGATTTATTTCAAACACAAACACCGATTGGATTAGATAACATTAAGGGGAAACCAGTAGGCAAACCCCAACCTAATCCAAAATCCCATACAAACATCAGGAACTAACTAAATCTTATCACTTCCTTGTATTCTCCCCAGCATTCCTTGTCAGAGGAATAGATCCTCCTCACAACTCTTGCAGTTCTGTTCTGCATCCCTCAAAGCCTCTATCTTATACTGTAGCTATACGTATGCACTATGATATGGGACAATGGGTGATTTTGCCTCTTCAGAAAGCATTTTCTGAATGTCTGGAGATACAGTTGATTGTTTAAACTGGAGGGTAGGTGTATTATTGGTATCCAGGGGGTAGAGGCCAGGGATGCTGCTACACGTCCTCCCATGCTTATATTAGTAGTCCACAACAAAGATGTGGTGCTCGGGTTGAGAAATTCTTGTGTATACCCAGCGCATTGTACATCTGGTAAGTGATTTATTTCATATTCCACATTGCAATTACATACAACTCAATCAGTTGTTTTTTAGCAGCTAAAAGAGCTAATTCCAATCCAAATGTGCCTTCTTCAGAAGGAGTAAATAGTTTAGGTAAGAGAATTTGGCTCAACATTTTGTTTTTACTCTATTTTGGCTTAGTATGAAATGCGTACAAACTCTGTTGAATGTTTTGATAAAAACTCTCAGATTTTGGAGGTAAACTGTCTACAAAATAAACTATCTTCCTGAGATTTCATTTATATATTCTAGAGCATTTTATCTTTTTTCCCAACATTTTATGTGCAAATTTAATTTTGCTCTTTTAAAGAACACAAATACAATAATAGGATGAGATGAGATATGAATACAAATTGTGGCATTAACATTATATATGAAGGTCACTGTGACTACAGGATTTCAGGGACGAGAGTCTGGTGGGGATAAATTACATGGACTCCTTCTCCACATTCTAAACACTGGAATGACAATAATATGTACCCACAGATCAGCATTTGATGTAGCATGCCTTAAAGCAGTTTTCCCTTACTCCTGGGATACACTCATGCTGCTCACCTTTCTCTCTGTAATGATTGAAAAGCTCCAGTTCTCACTACACTGCGGCCTTTTTATTGTATTCAGAATTACATGGCATGGGTAAAAAAACCTGTATACTTCTAGTGCGTGTGCTTCTTCTTAATGAGAAATATTTATAAACATTGTGATATCTTATTTCCTTCTATTTACTTATTTATCTAAAATGGTCAGACAACATGTTATGTGTTTATCATGTATCACACAATGCTTTAAAGTATGTATACTTTGCAAAATGGTTACATTTAGCTAATGAACACATGCATCACTTCACGCAATAATGAGTTTTTGTGGTGATGACACATAAAATCCATCCTCTTTACATTTTCCAAGAATACAGTACATCATCATTAACTAGGAACAGGAGTTAAGGCCTGTGTACCCTGATCAAGATTTCTGCCTTCAGCCTTACAACTAAAAACCCATCTCCCTGCCGTCCCTCACTTCTCAGTGAGACCTTTAACAGGCAGTCTTCTTGCTGCAGTAGCTATATTCTAATAGCCTGGAAGAAAATATAACTTCAAGAATATAATATCTACCCTAAAAGGATGAAGGAGAAGGCAGAACCAGGTTTCATAAACAGCATTCCGATCTTTCTTTGTGTACTAGTGTAAGTTCTCGCTTGTATCATTTTTTTTTTGTTTGTCTTGTGTTGTTTTACAATCAGAAGGTACAGCCCTGTCCCTAAAACAGGAAAACGGACAGAAGAGAAGGCGGTGATTCCTGCTCAGAGACCCAGGACCTTCTCCAAACTGAACAGAATGTGAAATGTGATTTTGTTCTCCTCGTAAGTATTACCAAATTCCTGTTGGCTAATAGGACCATTTGGCATAAATGTCGTCTACTTGTCATGCAGATGACTCACTTAAAATCATTAAAGGATGATGTTATTCACATATGGTTAACATAGCTAAATTCATTTACAGTTTACCAACTGTTCTATGGAATATTTTTGTACCCTGTAGAATTGATCTGTTTACCCCATGGAAAATTCATCGTGACATGTAGTCTTTCTGTTTTTTGAACCAAAGAAAGTATTTAGATTAGCTTTAAAGTTATAATAAGTGTTCCTGGGTACATTGTTTCCTTAATATCAGAGAGATGGCCTTTTGCTTATGGCTTGGTAGTGCATGGTAGGTCATTATATTGCCAGACACCTTTGTGAAGTCAATTCTAGTTTTATTGCTGTTCCCATTTTGTTCAAGGGCCCAAATAATTTGGGGTGAAACTTTGTCACCACTAAGAAGCAAAGATTGTGTCACCTAATTTATAAGGAAAGTAAAACAGCAATTCTATATCTGTAGGTTTTACTTCTGCTGAGTTCTTCTTATCATGTGAATCTGCTGAGATGTAGCGCTATGGTCTCAGGTTAAGTTGGTATAAATACTAGACAATTTTTTGTGTGTGTGGCTGGAACTGAAGAAGGGAGGAACTTTCCTTCAGTAACATGAAACAAAAAATGGACACTTTCAATGTAATCCAAATTTTCAAAGGAGGCTTTAAGTAACTCAGATCATATTATGCATGTGATCATTTTGCAGTAGAGTTAGACTTTGTAATCTCCCCACCTTCTTTCCCAGTTTTTCTCTCTATAGCATTTTTCATCTTCCCACACACTACAACATTTGCTTTTTTTAAATTCTGAATTGTCTTCCTTTCTTACAAGATGGAAAGCTCAAAGAGAGAAGGACTTTGGGCCAGTTTTGTATCCTGCAGTAACAGAAGCACTTAGAACAATTTCCAGCTGTATTAGACACTTGCACCTATTTGTTGGATGAATGGATTCTGTATATTTTACTCTTTGTCCAACTAATTTTTCTTAGGTGTCCAAATAATTCTTCTGTAAATCCTTTTCTATAGGAAATGTTTTTAAAATTCTTTTTTTAAAGAATTATTTATTTGAAAAGCAGAGCAGCAGGGAGAGAGGGAGAGATAGAGAGAGACAGATCTTTCATCTGTTAGTTCAGTCCCCAAATGGCTGCAAGAGCCAGGCTGGACTAGACAGAAACCAGGAGCCAGGAACTCCACCTGATCTCCCATAGGGGTGATAGGGGCTCAAGCACTTGGACTATTGTCCACTGCCTTCAAAGGTCCATTAGCAGAAAGCTAGATCAGAAGAGGCACAGCTGGGACAGGAACCTGTTCTCCAATGAGGGATGCCAGCATCACAAGTGGTGGCTTAACCTGTTGCACCTCAATGCTGGCACCCCAAATTCATTTATTTTAAGTGTTTAAAAGAAGCCTTTATCTGAAAAAAACATCCTATAAGAGCTTACCTTACATTCCTCTAAACAAAGGTCTGATCAATTTTACATATGTTTGAAAACATGGTCATTTACTATCAAACATCAGAAGTCATAAATTGAGACCCATCTATTTTTCAGTTGGTAAAAGGCTACTTCAGTCTCCTTGGTACACCTCTGAAGGTTTGTAAAAGGGAAAGAAAGTAGGTTAACACTGAGGCCTAAGCAGCTCTGGGAGGGTAGTGTTACTAGCCCAATAGCTGAGTCTCAGAACTGCTTTCCAAATAATAAAGTTGAGAGTTGGGAGCAGCGTTAGGTGTGTTATACTTTGGAGGCTTTGTCCTTTCTAAGAACATCAGTCCTAGCCCAGGTCCCAGGAGTGTAGTCCCCTTTGCTTTTTGGGGATTTAAGGCTTTTGGAAATGCAGATGGTCTCACTTGAGTTGCTTTGTATGACTGGCATTTTAAATGAATTACTGACAGAAAAAACATTTGACTCATTCCCAGCTGGATAATTTCAAAAACGCTAACCTGAAAAGAATGGTATCTCATAAATTCAGACAAATGGGCATTATGAGGGCTAAGCTGGTTGTCTTTTTAATATACTGAATATTAGCATTTTCCAAGGCTTACAGGTCAGTAAGGTAGAGTCAGCTCAGGAGACTACAATCTTTCATTAAAATCCTTTTATTCTTTCTGCTTTGTTATGATGAAAAAAGTCTTAAGTTGTCAACATATGTAATGACTATAGAAGGCTTGCCACTCTGAGAGGAGAAAGAGTAAAATAGGCAGGTACAATTTTCAAGGACCACATACCATTTGTTTAAAAAAAATAGTAACAGCTGTTACCAACTGTTTATATCATTTAATGAATAAATTTAATTGTATAGACTGTTGATTTAGGAAACTCCACATATTGGAAGGCTCTTCAGTCTTTGCATAGTCAGAGACCCCAAGATCTCTGGGACAGCTGATTTTATTCATTGACATGAGTTTGAGTTGAGGCTTGGCCTAAAAAGCAAAGCAGTATGTTACAAGTAGTGAATCTTAGTGTATGTAAATTAAAAATAAAATAATTGCATACCAAAAAAAGAAGAGTTAGGCAGTGAGTATAGGGTGGCCACATATGACTTACTTATTGGAACAATCTTAATGTCCATCACTGCAGCTTACACATAGTAAAGACCCAGTAAGTGATTGTTAAATGCAACAGCAAATGAGAAGTAGAGAAGCCGTACCATTTAATCAATGAATGAGCTGTGTTTGCTAACACATTCCATTGCAGCATGGCTGTCTCCTTCATTTCCTTCAGGCCTCTGATCAAGTGTCACCAAAGAGAATGTATGGAATTCAATGAGAACTATGACACTGTTTTACCATATTTAGTGTAGAATGAGTATTTAGAAAATATTAAATGTGAAAATTTGTCTTGAAGGCAGTTTGGCAATATTTACCAATATCAGCATGTGCAAGCTTTTGATGCAGTGATTACATTTATTCTACAAATTACATAATTAAATATTTTCTATAGGATATACTTTGTCCATATGTATAAAGATAGACATACAAAGATGTTCAATGCCACATTTTTGTGACTGCTGAAAAGAACCTAAATGTCTTCCAACAGGGGTATGGTCAAACAAATGAAGTTTCAACCTTACTTTGGAATGCTAGGCAACAAGAAAATATATCCAAATCTTATTTTAAATAAAAAAAAAAAACCTGCAGTATTTGATGTCTAAATAAAGTTGTTTCATTTAAAACATAGTCATTGACACTAGTCTTTACAATTTTTTGATTGCTTGAATTGCTTAAAATATAAATATATAAGTTTTCCTTTTATGTGAAAAGTTTTAAATACACTTACAATATTATTTGATGCATAACTTTTCTAAGCATCTATAACTGTATTTAAATTTACATTTAGTTGTATTTTAAACCTTCACTCCTACTCCATTCTATACTTAAATCTTACAGCCCTTAGGTTATTTTTTACCTTTGGTAATAAAAGTTTCTGACAATAGAAACAAAATGTTCATCTTTAAAGTACTTGACCATGCTTAAAACTGTCACATATTTTAGTTCATTTTGCTTTACAGTCTATTTGTTCAAATGCTAAGTGATACTAATTTACCTAGTGAACAACTTTCAAAACAAGGCAGCACAGTACATTAGGCAAATGATAAATCCTGTTGCACTGTCTTCATTTATATATTGTCTCAATATCAAGTTACTGAATAAAGTTTAGGAAGTGGTCTAGCTGCTGAAAAAGGTATGGTTTTTGTAGTCAGGCCTCAGTTTAAATCCTGTCTCAGTTATAAGCTACCAGTTTGGCTGATCTTTCCTGAGGCTCAGTTTCTCCAACTGCAAAATGTGTTTCTTTTGAGGACTGTCCCTGTAGTATTACGTGCTGACTGTCTGTGTCCCCTCTCCCATCCATAGGTTGATGCTCTACACACCAACATGCCTATATTTACAGATAGGAAGTAATGAAGGCTAAGTGAAGATATAAGGGTGGGTCACTAATCCAATATGGTTGGCACCCTTGTAAAAAGAGACACTAGGGCAAGAAGAGACATCAGATCTCTCTGTGTCACACCTCCCCCTTTTACCCCCTGCCATATGAGGGCACAATAAGAAGGAAGTCCTCTGAAAGACAACAAGAAACAGAAACTGCTAATGCTTTGATCTTGGATTTCCTGGCTTTCCGATCTATGAAAAATCAATTATTGTTGTTTAAGTCACTCAGTCTTGGTATTTTGTTATAGCAACACAAGTTGACTAATACACATGGCACAGGTGAAACATCAGATACTCTGTGCCTAGCAACCTGTTGGTGGAACCTCACGCCTGTGGGATCTGCATGTTCTCCTTGCCTAGCAGCTACTTCAGAAATAAGCAAACTGAGTAGTGCCTGTATACTTAGAATTAGTAATTTATTATAATATATTACAGTTATGTTTATTAGTGCATTCAAAATATATTTACAATTTTAATAACAATAACATTGATATAAAAAACACCAATAATGATGACAATAATTCATCAAAGACACAGATTGTTGACATAACTGGATCCCAAATCTGTTGCTGTTGTGCATATTCACAGTAAGGAACTAACGGATTGAAAATTCCTCTCTTAGCTGAAGTGATTGCCTTAGCATTTTATGGTTTTTTGCCTTGAAGAGAAGTGTTACTGAGAAAAAGCTGATTTTTAGCTCAACATTGCTTGAATGATAATTTACAAAGAGGGCCAAAGAAGTTCTGACTGGGGTGTGATAATTTTGCTAAAGTTGCCTCCTAAGCTGATTAGAGATTTGGAAACCCTGATTGTACAATTGCTTATAGAGAGACAGAGAAGTTAAAATATCTTTAAGTTAATAGCAAGGGGAATAAATTGTGATGTAAATTGTCAGTGACACACAGAGTTTCAAAAGGTGTCTTAAAGAGCTGGATCCAAACGCCAGTTTTCCAGCATACACATGGCTTGTTGATTACTTCAACTCATGAGCAGGTATCATGTCTCTGCCCTGTGAAATGGGTTAGAACAGTATCCACCAGGGTTGTGGGAATTTGAAAACACGGAAGAAAAACACTGAGATAGTGTTGGCACATGACAGGTGCTCAAAAATGATACCTATTGCTGTGTTTTCATAGATGTTTAACTTCAAATCTTAAAGAGTTGTTTGTTGGGTTAAAAAAAATTCTTTCTGGTGAGCACTTAGATACGTCTGAAAAAGGACAAGTGCAGATACCTGTTTAGCTTTGCTGAGCCCAGTGCCTGATCCCTCCCAGGCACCCAGTTATCTCTGCTGCCCAAACATTCCAAGTTGCCCAGCCTGGCTGGCTGGCGTTGAAGAGGCGGTGGTTGTGGGATTAGTTCCCATGTAGACCAATTGGCTTTCAGAGAAAACTGCAGCTGTGGTTTGGACCAGCACTGCACTTTGAGACCACTCTTTGCAGAAACTCTAGAATTACTGGCTGTTAAACAGCATGCACACACCCATCCATGCAGCTCCATCAGGGCCAGCAGTCTCTTAATGAGGCTTTAGCAGTGTCAGACATACATTAGGATAGAAGCAGGACATTACAGCCTGAGAGTAGCTGTTCTCCATAGCTTTGCAGTTCTCCCTCTGCAGTTTCTCTGCCAGCCACATTTCATATGCAGAAGCCAGGTCTGGCTGTCTCAGGGCAGACCATGAACCAGAGACACTGGCTGCCAGGGTCACCTTTTATTGAGGGCCAGCTGCCCTCCCATCTGCCTGTCAGGCTGCAGCAAGGGCTGAGAGTGGAAAATGTGAAAATAATTCGGCCCCACTATAAAAAGAAATCCTGATTTTTTCAGCTGTCATTCTGTGAATAGAACCTAGGAATTAACCTGTGGCCTTTTTGTTTATTATTTCAGAAAGGGGCAAAAAGCCAGAGGGAAGTATGTGTTACACCATCTCTGGCCCAACAGCGACAAAGGAAGAAAACAGTGAGTATGAAGCTCCATAAGGATGGAACGTCTTCAGGTGTGACTGTTTCAACGTTTAAAAGGCTAATATGGCTCAAAGTGAACAGTGAACATCTGAGCTGCTCCCTGTAAGGTACCCTATGGTCGAGTTTCCAGGCATGGTGGCCTTGGGTTCATGAGTTTCAGTAATAGAAAACAAAACAAACAAACAAAAAAAACTGGGCCCAATAAATCTAAGGCTCTGGATATGGAATTTTCTTGCATTGGTTCTTAGTGATTTTAGTCAGGACCACTCTTTCCAAACATTTCAGCACTGTCTCAACTGACTTATCATGTATTTTGGGCATGGACTCGGGCACGGATAAAGCTCTTCATTTCCTTCAGTCCAACAATGCATTGCCAGTGGGATGCTTTCCACTCTTTTTTGTTGTTTTTGTTGCAATATTCTCTGTAGTCATCCAGCCCATTGCCTCTCCCACATTTAGCTAGGTGATATTTGCAGTGTGGTCTATGAAGGAACCTTATAGAGAATGCTGGTTCCTACACACAGCATGAATTCTAGCACAGCACCCAGCACCCAGATTTGCACAGGTGTTCAAGGAAGTGTTGAATGAATGAAAACACGTGAATAGAGGCAATTTGCTCAGTGAGTTATTTCTGGAGTGAACCTGGTACCCCTTGCAAGTTTTTTTTTTTTGATATAAACATCATCTGACTTGTAGTTTTCCAAATCCATATAGGCCTAATTTCCTCATTCCTAAGAGTTGGCAGTTATGTGCTTTGTTGGGCTACCTCTGACCTCTATGTATGATTCAACATATATTCACTAAGTGCCTACTTAGGGCCAATCCTCTGAGAACTAGGTAGAAAAATCCCTGACCTTTATAAAGCTCTATTCTAATGTGAAAGGTGGACAAGAACAAGTAAATACTTTTATTTTAGGTGGTAAGTCCATAAAGAAAAAAACGAAATAAGGGAATAGAAAGGTGGGGGGGGGGCTTGAGATTATTTTAATTAGGGTAATTCAGGTAAGATTCTCTGAGGAAGTAACCTTAGAGCAGACATGAAATGGAACACTTTGAGCCAAGCAAAATGGGGTTAGATTAAAAATACATGATAATTTGGGGTGGGTGATGAGTGTCTATCTTAGTGGTTAAGACACCAATTGGGATGCCTGCACCTCATATTGGAGTACCTGTTTTAGATACGCGGCTTCACTCCCAGTTCCAGCTTCTTGCTGATGTGAACCTGGGGAGCCAGATAAGGCTCAGGTAGCTGAATTTTTGACTTCCAGCTTCAACTTGGCCTAGCCCTGGCTGTTGTGGGCCTTTGAGAAGTGAACCAGCAAATAAGAGCTCTCTTTGTCTCTCTGCTACTCAAAAACAAACAAAAAAACAAAAATAAACAAAAACAACATGATAACAGTAACACAAAAGAGTAGGAGGAGATTAAATGGAGTTCACATATTCTCAGGTTCTTAGTACATGTTCTTATTTGGATTGGACTTCAGTAAGGCAAGCATGCATTCTATACTTTCTACAGTCTTAATATAAAGGATCTTCAAAAAGTTCAAGAAAATGCATGTTATGAAAAAACTGTGCATGGGTTGCAAAAATTTTTACACTGAAATAAACTTACACTTTAATTTAATTCTCCACAAAGTTTTTGGAGTGCCCTTGAAGAAGAATAAAATAGAGAGAGGAAATAAAATGTAATAATAGTAGTTTATTGTCCAAAAAGTAGCAAATAAAAGGGAAATATAAAAGAGTATAAACTCTGTGAGAGATATAGAAAACAAGTAAAATGATGGGTTTAAATTCTAAATACAACCACAATTGCATCAAATATCAATTGAATACATATTAAAGGATACAATTGTGAATAAGAGATTGCAAACAAAACCCAATCACATGAAGCTTGCAGGAGACACACTTTTAATATAAGGGCATGTAAAGCTTACAAGCAAAGGATGAGAAAATTTCAGAGAAATATTAGCCAATGATGACTGGGTAGCAATATTAAAATTAGACAAAATAGACATTAGTTTTATGTTTTTGTTTTTTTTTAAGACTTATTTTTTTTTTTAATTTGAAAGGTAGAGTTACAGAGCAAGAGAAGGAGAGACAGAGAGACAGAGAGATCGTCCATTTGCTGGTTCACTCCCCAAATGGCTGCAATAGCTAGGCCTATGCAAGGCCAAAGCCAGGAGCCAGGAGCTTCATCCGGGTCTCCCACATGGGTGCAGGCGTCAAGGGACGTGGGCCATCTTCTGCTGCTTACCCAGGCATGCTAGCAGGGAGCTAGATGGGAAGTGGAGCAGCCAGGACTTGAGCCAGCACCCATATGGGATGCTAGCACTGTTGGCCACAGCTTAACCAGCTGCACTATAGCAATGGCCCCAATGCTATGTTAATAAAATAAATTAAGAGGGCCATAATACAAGGGATAATCCCACAGACAAAGTAACAATTCTTAATTTAGAAAGTGTTGAATAACATAGCTTCAAAATATTTAAAGCGAAAATTAACAGAACTAAATAGAGAAATATTCAAATTTACAAAAATAGAAGGAGATTTTAAGATGCTTTTCCCAGAAATTGATAGAACAGACAAAAAAAAAAGCAGCTTTGAACTAACTGAGCATTTTCAGAACATGATGAATAAGGATGGTTGATATCTTTTCCTCTGCAATATTATGCCAAGGTCTGCCAGACTCACCCAGGTTCATTTGCGAGGACAGGGAAAGACAAATGGAGGTCTACATCCTACATATCTAAATATGTTAACGTAATAAATCATGGTGAGAAACTGTCAAAATATGTTCTAGACGTCTACCTTGAAAAATAGATCTTCATTATGGCAAGATAAAAAGTATAAAATTATCATTTATATATGACTGAAAATTGGCAAAGTATCAAAGACAATTGCTTATAGCATTGTGGTACATGTTTGAATGTTCTGTTATGTGCCAGCCATTCCTTGAGTCTTATAATGAAGGCCTGAATAATTATATTATTATTTATTATAATCATTACAGTTATTACAACTTCTCACTTGTTATAATAATACTTTTAAATAATTGGTATATTAGTGACAGCAATGATTTAAAGGATTAAGAAGTAAAATGCAATTTCATTCCAGGGGTATACATTTTGACATAATTTTATTAAAAAGTTAAAAAAATGTAAAATATCAAACTTTATTTAAAAATACTACTTTCTTCTAAAATTTCAAAATTATATGTTGAAGTTAAAATCAACATATAAATAAATTAGTCTCAAATTTTTTAATCAAAATTATTTCTCTAAACTTGACACTTTCAATTTTATTCTTGAAAATATAATCAATGTTATTAAAATACATTTATAAAAACAAAACTTTAAAAATTCTAGCATGTAATGTTTCTATATGCCAATAAGAAGAATAAGCATGAAGCATCACACATGTTAGGTCATGAGCCAAACACATGCAAATGTAAGAGTTATATAAGAGTAGTATTCATTGTTTCATACTGCCGAATGTTTCTCAGAATGTTTCTCAGAATGTTGCACATCTACTGCAAAATATTGCTAATTTAAGAATAATTTGCTACACCCAAGAATTAAAAGAACCCAAGGACAAGTAAGAAAACAGAAGACCATCTCTTTTAGGAAATACTTGTTGTTAACCAGAGCATTAAACAAGAAAAAGAAATGAAAGGTATAAGGATTGGAAAGGCAGAAATAAACCTATCATAATTTGCATACAACATATGCAATTAATCTATGCACTCATGCCATATAGGAGGATAAATATGTCATGTTAACTTGTCTTTCATCAAAGTGCTTCTGCAACTACAAGCCTCAGTATTAGCAGTAGCACAACTTACAGTCATGTGATCTGGATGCCATAAACTTTTGTTTCAAAGAAGTAGGGTAAGAGATGTGGAGAGGTGTTTTTCTAGGAGCTAGATGATGTTAATGTAAAAGTGGACATTTAGGGTAGCAGATCCCAAGTGTGAGAGCAATTCTGTACTCTTCAATAAATGTATTGTGATCAGTGTACTTGTTTGTGATGTACTGGTCTAAAAGCAAGAAAAATAATTGGAATGTATAAGGATTGGAAAGGCAGAAATAAAGCTATTATAACTAGACAATGTAATTGTATGCACAGAAAAAAGTGAAATTATATTCAAATCAAATACTTGAATTAATAGTTGAATTCAACATGTCCATATACCAGTAAAAAACAGTAAATAAAAATAAAAAATGATTCCATTTAAAAGAGCGTAAAAGCCATAAACCTACAAATCAGCGGAATTAAAGAAATGCACTGCATTTACAAAGAAAACTGCATTAGCTGAAGAAATTAAAGAAGTCTAAGTTAGAGAAAGGCTACAAAATGTATATGGACAGGAAGATTTTATATTGCAAAGAAATAACTTCTACTCATTAAATAATAGACTAAATTCAATCATATAAGGTAATTTGAAAATTGATGTGCTAATTTAATATTTCCAAGAAAAATAAAATACATCAAGAGAAAAGCAAAAAAGTTCTTGAAGAAAAATGAAGTTCAAGAATGTACACCATTAGATATCTCAATTCTTATTACAATGAAAATAATATGGTATTTGTACAAGGATATACAAATAGAGAATCAAAAAAAGACTCAATGCTTAGACCTTCACTTCACTTATGATAAACGTTAACCTGTAGTTCAGTGAGGAAATAATAGTCTTTTCAATGCATGGATGCATGGTAACAGGCCAATTAGGTAGCTTTTTAGGAAGAAAAAAATTCTTAACCCTTATCTTACATCATAAGCAAAGTTCTGTTGCAGATTGATTATAGACTTATGTGTGAAAGATTAAAAATTAAAAAAGCTTTAAAACATAGACTATACTACTTTATCCCTTTTAGTATTTTTTTGTTGTTCTAGTTAATACTATTGGTTGAACTCTGTAATTAACACAATTATTCTTAGGTGTTTAAATTTAACTGAAAAGTGATCCCTGTTAAATATAAGAGTGAGAATAAGAGAGGGAGGAGATGTACAATTTGGGACATCCTCAATCGGACTTGCCCCAAATGGCGGAGTTAGAAATCTGCCAGAGGATTCCAATACAATCCCATCAAGGTGGCATGTGCCAATGCCATCTCACTAGTCCAAGTGATCAATTTCAGTTCACAATTGATCACATTGATAGGTCTAAGAGTCAAAGGGATCACACAAACAAGACTAGTGTCTGCTAATACTAACTGATAGAATAAAAAAGGAGAGAACGATCCAACATGGGAAGCAAGATACACAGCAGACTCATAGAATGGCAGATGTCCTAAACAGCACTCTGGCCTCAGAATCAGCCCGTAAGGCATTCAGATCCGGCTGAA